CGCCCAGCCGGCGGGCATGCCCCCACTCCAATCATCGCCCCACCACGTTTAAAACTATTTAGTTTAATTGGCGCTATTTGATGATATCATTACTTTTGTAGAGAAGATAGTTTTGTAGTGAGGATATTTTTGTAGAGATGCAAAAAAAATAGATTAACAAAATATATTCGGTAAAAGAAACGCCAGTGTCGTGGTATCGTATATACATATAATTACGAGGAATAGAAGAAGAACGAAACTAAGAATAATATACCGAAAATATTAAAACACGTATTATAACATTAATATAATTTGACACTGATGCGTACTGGAAACGATCGGAGAGGATGTTTTTGTGTACGGGATCCTCTGGTCTGTAAGGAAGAAAGTGATGGGATTAATGCTACGGAACTTAATACTAGAATTAATTAAATATTCTTTCCCACCCGAAATATTTCCCCCCAGAGCTCTACACCGGTCAGGAATAGGAGAAGGATTAGGTCAGGACAGGAGCACGCCGAGAAGTACCTCGTAGTGCGTGGGTTACTCCGCTCCGTCGAATCACGAGTGCCCCCGATGCTAAGACGGAAAACGGAGCAGGATACAGGACTGGAACACGCCCGAGCAGCGCCTCGGTATACGTGAATTTTCAGTAATAGTCGTACACCGGGAAGCACCCCGTTAGGTGTACGTTACTGCGGAGGTACCCCGTCCCCTCGCAACACGGAGGCGCCCGCTGTTACGGGGGAAACGGAGTCAGGACAGGAGACCGGTATGGGAATAGTAACGTGTGTACACCGGGAAGCACCCCGTTAAGTGTACGTTACTGCGGGCCGGGGCGCACGACGGAGTAGAGCCTCCGCTATCATGCGCTTCGGTGTGGTATACGACCGATAGACAGAGGCACCTGTGTTCTCGGTGTACACCGCAGTGGATGTGGGAGGCATCCACCGCCGGGTGTCTTCGCTCGGAGCTCCAAGCGAAGACTGAACTAAATCGCCTGCTCCGGAGGGGCTTTTATACCCCCCCCCCGGAGTGGAGGCGCGCGGGGTAGAGGCGGCGGGGGCAGGCGCGGCGTTGCCGGCTCAAGTTAATGTGTCAACCGCGCCGCTATCGATCTCTCACTCGCACCCGGTAGTGCGGTCTCTTTCTACCGGCCGCGCCTCCCCTGTCGCCTCCGTTACAACACTATTTAAGTTTCTTTGTGGCTGTATGTTGGCCTTTTAGTTCTCGGCACATATTGGATAACAAGTTTTCGTTAATACTTAAATCTTGACAGTCATTGATATCATTAAGAAAATCCTCGGTAATATAACTGTTAAGATGATTGAACTGGCTCAAGTTTGAAATATTATAATTAGTTTTATCACTATAAGTAATGAAATCTGCAATGTATGAGCACTTTGAACAATGTCTAGCATAACGAGCAAAATTGAAAAAAATATTCATTTACATTACACACAATTCATTACACTTGTTACAAATTAATTTGCCCTGTTTTTTATGGATGTTGTGATAATGAGATCTAAATGTTGTCAATCTCAGTGTAAAAAAGTTACAATCTTTGCAATAATGTGTAATTGGGCGTTGTACCTTTTCGAAATTTGATGACTGTATATTATCTTGCAAATTATCTTTTGTACCAAGCTTTTCTTGAACATTCTCTACAAAAGACTTGGATTCGATTGCAGCAGATGTGATAGTTGATGTTGATGCTAATGATGTAGTAGTTAATGGTGATTCTGGTACAGTTGATACCATTGATGACATATTTGAAACTTCACAGCGTTTAATAGAAAATGGCAATTCAGCTATAGATGTTGAAAGAAAATTGTTAGTTTTAGTTTTTACAATTTAGTTTTGCTAATTAAATGTATAAAATTAAATATATTAGAAATATATGAATATATTATACATACCTGCATTACACTTTCTTCTTTATTAATGCCGATCACGGAAACATGTTTTGCTGGTGGATGCCCACAATATAAACATAAAATGGAAGGATCCACATTATTTAATTTGCGAATGTACAGAGTACATTCGCAATTTAATTCGTGGCACTGGCCACGAAAAATGCCTCAAATATCAACACTACAAAATGCGTCCATAATGTATGTACTTGCTATGCACTTGGTGCCTTTAGCGACGCGATTACGTAAGTATGGCACGATGAAGAAAAATAATAACAAAAGCTATATCTCGTTGCTATGGAGACAGATTAGGTTGGAGGTATGTACATTGTACCTCGTATTACTTCAGGAGGTACGTACGGGAACCATTTGTACCTCCTAAAAAATGTACCGCGAATTTATTAATACCTCGAGCAGTAACCTCGAGACTCCAACTGATCGTCATATATTCATTATTACCTCGTATATCATGTATCTCGTGCTAATGTACCGCGAAAAATATCGTCACTCCTATTTTGGTGGGCTTTTATGTACCTCATAATTATGTAGACTTTTTATTTTAACGTGTACCTCGAATTTGGCGGTACTACGCGATACACGATTTACAGTGTAGGTACTAACGTTGATATATTCGCGTTTATTTTTCAAAGGTGATCGGTCAAATCTATTTCTTCTTTCTCAGCAAAACCCTGGGATATCGTGGACTACGGTGTATGCGATATTGAACATGTTCTTGGTGAGGTGTCCGAGAACACGATTGTCGTGACTCCTATAGAAGGCGATAAGATGATAGCCATCCCCAAACGCCAACAGACTGTCCAAGAGATCGAGCGAACGAAACTGTTGGCCAAAAATGTGCGCGGTTGGAAGGATATGTTTTAATTGCGTTTTAATTTCGTACATCTCGAAACTGTACTTGTAATTTAACTGGTGGTCGAGTTACTGCAACACGCGCCGCAATGTAAGACGCTTGCACGAAAATTTGCATATTGTAAAAGAAACAACAATTTCTGTTGTCACCTATTTTTATTTGCATCTCGTAAAAGTGATGTACGAAATTTAAACGCATGCGACTTTGAAAAATTCCTAGACACTTTGCCTGGTTATAAAACTTTTAATACGAAAGAAAATACATGTAGTGTCACAGATTATTAGAAAATTTGCTAAATCACAGTCATTTCCCCATTATTACTTGTTAGTAGTTATGGGGAAACTGTGTCTTCTATGCATGTTCCATGTTGCTCAGATTCTTTATTTGTATCTATCACCATTTGTATATTACTGAATGTTCTAAAAAAATTCAATAAAGTTTCATTACATCTCTTACACTTTTTCTATAGGATAGAAATGATAAAAATGTTAAAATAGATTGAATAGCTTATTATTCAAAATGTTCAACTTACTGTCTGTGTTTTGTAGTATGTTTCAAAAATTCCATTTGTTTGTAATATTTCCAGTTTATTGCTTTCCATGCCATGTTGTCAATAAATTCTTATTTGATGCAGGAAACTTGCGTGTACAACTGTTTGCGCGTCGAATGACAATATAAAAATGGTATGCGAAGCGGTGTTTTTATGAATGCATTGAGTTTATTTTGTCAACGATTGTATTAACCAACTCTAAGGGTAAATAAATTCAACTTTATTGTAGCATATACATATTCCATTTTATTTTTCTAATATAGATTTTAGGAGCTTTTATTGACGCGTTTTATACCGTTACCGTCTATAAATCTGTATTAATTTCAAGTATTAATCTACATTAATGTCACGAAACCAACACATTTATGCGATAATTTCATGTTTAACTGTGACTGCGCACTTCTTGTGGACGTCCAACTTACGAATCTGTTTATTTCATTTATCTTTCCTGTACTGAAGATGGTCCAATAAGGACCGAAACGTATACACAATTTTATAATTAAAATTAATTAATGGACACTACCATCCTGTTCGGGCTCTGAGCTAGTAGGTGTGCCGGTAAAATAACTTTCCCACATTTTTTTTCAGTGTACAACATGTTTTATTTGACTTTTCCCATACATCACTGGAAAGCTTGATTCTACTCTCCTCTAGAGATCTCCTCTACTTTTCTACATATGGTAATCGCCGTCTCTACCTATGCATTTTTGTAGGCGCACGATCCACTTTTGTAGACCCTCCTCGTAGAACTCCACCGCCAACCCGTTGAGGTAATTCGTTACTTCTTCTTTATGTCTCCGAGGACCACAATTAACTCGGATTGATACTGCGAGTCCCTAAAAAAACTCCGAAGGGCAATCCAAAATTGCCGGAGGGGGAAACTGTCTAGAGGTGTAAGGTTGCACCACGACAATGCACGTCCGCATGTCTCCAGGCAAACCAAGGACCTCATCGCCCAATTCGGCTGGACTGTGGTTCCCCACCCACCCTACAGTCCCGATTTAGCCCCTAGTGATTATCACTTGTTCCCGAAATTGAAGAATCACTTGAGCGGATTGAAATTTAAGACGGACGACGAAGTGAAAGAAGAAGTAACGAATTTCCTCAACGGGTTGGCGGTGGAGTTCTACGAGGAGGGTCTACAAAAGTGGATCGTGAGCCTACAAAAATGCATAGATAGAGACGGCGATTATGGAGAAAAATAGAGGAGAAATCAAGCTTTCCAGTGATGTATGGGAAAAGCCAAATAAAACATGTTGTATACTGAAAAAAATGTGGGAAAGTTATTTTACCGACACACCTCGTACGAGGTCTAAAGTATCTATCAAGAAGTATCGCGAATTTTGTGTTTTTTCAAAAATTATTTATTTATTCATGAAAATCTATGTTGTCCCCTTCAAAGTAATCCCCATCAGATATTATACATTTGTGCCAACGTTTTTCCAATCTTCGAAGCACTTCAAAAAATCCTTTATGTGATCTTGTTCAGCTCCTCCTTCGATGCCGTCTTTATCTCCTCAATCGTGGCGTAGCGTCGTCCTTTCATGGGCCTCTTCAGTTTCGGGAACAAGAAAAAGTCACAGGGGGCCAGGTCTGGGGAATACGGTGGCTGCGGCATCATTAGTGTGTTGTTTTTGGCCAAAAATTCGATGCTGTTTTTGGTCGAAAGTGAGCAATTTTGGTACGAATTTCGCGGCGACCCGTCTCATGCCCAAATCATTGGTAAAAATCGAATGGCACGAGCCAATCGATATGTTTAGGTCCACAGCAACTTCTCTAACGGTGATTCGACGATTGGCCAATACTATTATCTTCACTTCATCAATGTTTTCGTCTGATATTGACGTGCTCGTGCGTCCTGCACGCTCTTCGTCGTTCACATCTTCTCGGCCCTCTGAGAACATTTTGTACCACCGATAAACGTTGCTTTGGTTCAAGGTAGCTTCACTATATGCCACAGTCAACATTCGGAATGCGTCCGCGCACTTAATTTTGTTTTTCACACAAAATTTGATACATATTCTTTGATCCATTTCTTGGAATAGGCAAAAATCGAAGACGAGCCAAAACACGTCCAAGCAAAATAGCTGTCACAAATTAACTGAACATTCAAAATGGCCGAACTTGTCAGCATGAGTGAGGGACATGAGTACCAACATAACGCCACAAAAAAATCGAAAATCGAATATACGTAGCCCGCGGAAATTCAAAATTCGCGATACTTTTGGAACAGACCTCGTATTTATCTATTACCTGATTTTATCACAGGAGCCATTAGTTTTCTTTAGTCTTCATGGCTTCCGGATGGTTGCCGCGTCCGTTTGCAGTGTGGTGCCGACGTTTCGCAGGCGTTGCAGTCTGCTTCATCAGGGCTGGGAGACTCTGATACTGAGCTCCCTCGCGTTGCGCTAGTCCTTTTATACTCGTTTTTTGGGGGGGGGAAGGGAGGGGTAGTCAGGGGGAGGGTCAGAGGGAGGGGTGGTCAGAGGGAGGGGAGTCAGCCTATGCCGGCTGACCGTTTTTTAAAACGTCGGCACCACACTGCAAACGGACGCGGCAACCATCCGGAAGCCATGAAGACTAAAAAAGACAACAGCCGCGAAAGCCTGAAAGCCAAGAGCCAAGAGCCATTAGTTTAATTTTTTTTTGTTACTGAAACTAGTTTTGTTATTATGGGTAGAGGGGATAGAAAGATGGCGGAGTGAGAAGACGTGATAGAGTGAGGTGTGAGAGGAAAGATGAAAAGTGAGTGGAAAGGAGCGAGCAGGAGAGGAAGAGAAAGAGGTGATGGCTAGAGGAGTTGGAGGCGCAGTATGGGAAATGGAGGAAACGAGAAGGAGACGGGGAGAAGGAAGTTAGAACGAGGAGAAGTGAAGAGGAGGATGAGTTGGCAGAACGGAGCGGAGAGGAAGGACAAGGAGTGGGGAGAGGATCGAGCGTGATGGAACGAGAGATCGATAGGAGAGAGAAGAGGGGATTGGCGGAAGGGCGCGCGAGATCAAGCATGATGGAACGAGAGATCGATAGGAGAGAGAAGAGGGGATTGGCGGAAGAGCGCGAGAGATCGAAAAGGAACGACAGAGAACGGAGCGGATGGAAGCGATCGATAGTCGATCGGAGAGTCGATCGGAGGGGGTGCAGGAAGAGAGAGCTGGCGGACAGAAAACGGACGGCAGTGAAGAGGATCGGCGGGGGAGAGCGAAGGAGGAGAAGAGAGGGGGGAGAAGGAAAGAGGCAGAGGAGAGTAAGGCGGAGAAAGGAGGTGACAGAAGTGAAGAGGAGGAGGAGAGAGGAGGGAAGTAAGAGGTAGAGGAGAGACAGGAGGTGAAGGGGGACGGAGAGGAAGGTGGACAACGAAACCCATACAGCACATATGGTTGCAGTTACATTGCAGAAACATTGCAATCTTGCAGATTGCAGCGCAATCTTGCAGAGACATTGCAGGGATATAAAATTGCAAACTTTCGATAGCAATATTGCAGCAATGTTTCAAAAATAATGAAAATACTATATTTTCTATTTAAAAAATTTTTCTAATTACGAGAATTTTATAATGTTATTTTCGTTCATATTATACCAATAATGCGCGAATTATTAAGTACTTGATCAGTGCGGTGTTGCTCGCAATCTCTATCTATTACGAAGCGACCTCGAGGTATGGGATATCACGCATGCGCAAGAAGGTCTTGTGGGTAGAGTCTCGTGGTCTCGTGAGAGATATCTCTGCATGGTTATCTCGCCAGTGCTTCTTGCAATTATAAGTCTCGTATAACATTAAAAAGAGATATATTTCGTAAATCGAGTGAGAAATATAGAAAAGGTATGTAAATATGTATAATATTATATATAATTATTGCTTTTCCAACAAGACTTAATTATGTGAACGTTATTTATAACCTAACCTACTCAACTTTGGCTTACTTGAAAAACCTAGGCCGGTATATTCATAGTCAGATCAAATGTATTCAATTAAGACCGTCTTGAATTTATTTAAAGATTCTGTATGCGAATATTTCATTGTATGGATACACGAAATATCTAAAGATATGATCTTAACACGATCTTGAATATTGTAAGTTTTAACTATGAATACCGCCTCTCATAGTTTGTAAAGTTAAAGTTATATGTATTGAAAACAATTTGTTTGTGTACATTTAATAAAAGTTTTTTATTATACCTAGGGGTGCACGCACGCACACACACACACACACACACACACACACACACACACACACACACACACACACTCATCGCCACCGTTCCGGCCGGGACTCTCACGCGGGCAGACGCAGGTAGACGAGGGAAACGTGCTCACAGGGACACCCCTTGTTTCAATTTTTGCAGCGCCAGTATAGTATTTGATTATTTCTTATTGTAACTATGAATAACGCACGTT